AGCAAAAGCAAGCTACAGAAGACTAGTAGATGCAGCAGTGGAAAGCAAAAGTGACTGAAATCTCTCAATTAAAAAAAAAAAATTATTTTAGGTTTAAGCACTGGTGAAGTAACCGATAAACAGATTGCTCATTGGGCATATAGTTCGATTTTGGCATTAAATTCTTAGGCCTAGTAAACAGACATGATTGTGTGAATCCCACAAAACTAAGACTTAGTACGAGCTCGTAAATAAGGATAAAATCTCCAGTGTTAATACTAGTTATTGTACAAGAATTGTATTGTGAACTGGTTTTTAGCTTTCCTTATCTCTTCCCGAAAAGTTTTCACTGACATTTCTTCTGAGAAAAATAATCTAACTCATGCTATCAACACAAAGGCAAGACGTATAAACAAAAGATACCTGGGATCCCAGTTCTCTTCATACACAGTTTTTTTACACAGATGAAACAAATGCAGATAGACACACCCATTTAACCAAGAAAAGAATCTGAATTACTGGATCCATCCAAACCTCATTTGCATTTTTACTCCAAAAATTAACTAACAATTTACAGAAAATATCTGATATACAACATATTCTTTAGGCTCATCTTTTATACCACAATACTATAATCCAACACTTTCCCTTTTCTCCTCTTCACTTAAAAGCAATAATAGTCTACCCTTGACCAAAAAAGCCCAGATTTTGCATCCCATTAGGACCATCGATGTGAGTCTTTAACTCTAAAAAGTGAAAAAATAAGGTAACAGAGTCCTAGCAACAGTTAAAATGTAAGTAGTGCTTTTTGCCAAGTCTGAATGCCCTTTACAAAGTCCTACTTGGTTTTTTTGTAGCTCAGTTTTATAAATGGGAATAAATAAATAGATACAGAAATAAATTATTTTCCAAAGGTCATGCAGAAAGAAAGAATGGATTAGCCCATGGTTTAAGCACCAGATTAGATCTTAAAACATGGTGGCTCTGCCACTAAGCCTCTTGTGCAACCTTGTACCAGTCACTTAATATCATTTTATTTTCTACAGATAGGATAAAAAAAACAATACCAGCATGTAAAATCTATGAGAAACTGCAACCATATGACAGAGAAGCAGAAGTGCCAAGAATAAAAGTCATGCTTTTGACTCACGCCCATCTATTTTATGGACAAGACTCCCTCCTTGGATAAGCATAAGCATGTAGTTCAAAATATAGGATGCCTTCAGAAACACTAGCACATTGGGATAGCACATTAAGAGAGAAGCCTATTAAATAAAACAAGCAACAATTTCTGAAAGAGAAATTCATACAGCCTTGCACTTTTCTAAACAGTTTTCTTACATTCTCCTAGTCATTAAAATGTATAAAAATGATTATTTCCAAAACAGCATTACCATGAATTATCACCATCCCTGTTGCCTAGCAACTGGAGTAATTTTTGAATAGTGCGCTATATAAACCAGTATCTGGAGTTTGTGCAAATGGGTATTCATTTGAGGGTTTAAAACACATTCGTCTTGGAAATCAGAGGCAGATAATGCATCACTAATGTAAAGCTGAAATGCTCTTAAAAAATGAAATGGCACTAACAATTACTGCAGCTTAGCAAACCCCCCCTCCTGTAGCAGATCTGAGCTCTGTTAAACTTGGTCAGGGCAGGAGTTGACTCCCTTGCTCTTCCTTGGGCTTGCAAGTGCCCCTTTCCAATTTTTATGAAGATATTTGACATTCCGTGCCCTTTCCAATTTTTATGAAGATACTTGACATTCCTGTGGAGAAAATAATTCTTGCCCAGTCTTTTGAGGAATTTGCTCTTAACTCAAGAGCAAAAGAAACTGGTCACATTAAACGGCAATGTATTTAAGTCAAATTAAAAATTCTACTTTTATATAAGATACTGAGCTGGAAGAACTCACTGGTTCATACCATGATAGAATGATGTACTTAGTAAAGTTCAAAATAGGTCTGGACATTAATAGTGACAAAGAGATAACCTACTGAGATATTAGAGAGAGATTATAAGTACATACATGAAAAACACAAACTCCCAGAAATCACGGCCTGGTCACTCATTAGCTACTTGTCGTTGTCCATTATAGGGACTCTTGCCCATTCTTCAGACCCATGTGGAATTTAACTTGAATGCAGGACAAGATCCCAAACCATATCAACCTGTGTTGTTTCATGTTAAGAATTTCTACATTACTTTCTTACAACTTTAGTAGACAAGTTCCTGCTAAAGCTGTGTCAATCTGTGTTACTATTCCCAAAATGTGGGGGTGTGTGGGGGTGTTCCCAAGGGAGAAGGATTCCAACTTAACGGCTTCCAAGGCTTAGCCTTATGGGTAAGAAAAAAAAAAAAAGCAAAATGTGCTGAACACCAGCATGTGTTTTTCATAGAGACTGCAGGCAGAGAGGCAAATTCATCCCTAGCATAAACACACAGCCCACTGAAGGCAATGCAGTAGCATCTGTTTATACCAGCTAAAAAT